ACATTAAGTTGTTTTTTAAATGTTTAACTGGACTTGCACCTGAGCCACTTTGTAAATTTGTGAACAGGCTGGAACCATCCAGATCAACAAGAGCTGCTACTCGTGGAGACTGTAAAGTTCCATTTTTTAAAACTTCTTTTGCCCAAAATGTTTTTTCAGTGAAAGGAGCCAATCTGTGGAACTGCCTTCCTACAAATATAAAGATTTTAACTAAACTATCCACCATTAAAAAACTAACAAAAGCCTGGTTCATACAGCAGCAGCAGTGTAATCATGCCATATGAAAGGAATATCCGTGTGTATGTGAGGTGTGCATATGTGTAAGTTCGAGTGAATGTGTTTATTTACCAATTTTATTGGTGCTAACTGGTTTCTAGACATTTTATTGTATTCACTGTAATTTTTTTTACTCCTTTATTATCCTAACTGTTAAAAGCCCTTCTAGGGACAGGTGTTGCGAATTAGCCTTGGCTATAAACACTGTGATACAGGCATCGGATTGTTCTTTATGGAATAATCTATGTTTTTTTGTATCTGTCCCTATTCAAATAAACAATAAATAAATAAATAAAGAAGCTGAAAGGTCGCCGGAGCCCCGAACAAACCGAAAGGAAGGGTGACAAATTTGTGTAATCCAAACGGCATTGTGAAAGCTGTCTTTTCTTTGGACATGGGAGACAAGGGGATCTGCCAATATCCCTTTGTTAAGTCCAGTGTTGAATAAAAGCGAGCAGTACCCAGCCGATCAAGCAATTCGTCAACCCTTGGCATTGGATAAGCATCAAATTTTGACACAGCGTTCACCTTTCGATAGTCCTCACCGAACCGGATCGAGCCGTCGGTTTTAGGGACTAAAACTATCGGGCTCGCCCAGTCACTGTTGGACTCTTCTATTACTCCCATGTCCAGCATTGCCTCTAATTCGCTCTGAACTACTTTTTTTTGTGTTCAGGCAAGCGATACGGCCGGCTGCGCACAACCACGCCCGGCTCCGTCTCAACGTGGTGCTGAATGAGGTCCGTCCGACCAGGCAGGGGCGAGAACACATCAGCAAATTCAGCTCGAAGATTTTTCACATCAGTGAGCTGGGAGGGTGAGAGGTGGTCTCCACCAGAGGCCAGGGCGAGAGATTGGGTTTTTAGGCTCGCCTCTGGACCAAGATCCTCCTCTCCGGTCACCACCGTCGCCAGCATCACTGATTCAGCCTCAGACCATTTTTTGAGGAGGTTGAGGTGATAAAGTTGATGTGCCCCGTCCCTATCTGTTCGAACTACGTCATAGTTGAGATCTCCAACTCGCTGTGTGACCTTGAAGGGCCCTTGCCACTTTGTGAGTAATTTTGAACTAGAAGTAGGGAGCAATACAAGCACTTTATCTCCTGGTGTAAATTGACGAAGTCTAGCCCCCCTGTTGTACAGCCGACTCTGTCTGTCCTGGCCCTGTAACAAATTCTCCATCGATAGCCGCCCCAAAGTGTGGAGTTTTGTTCTCAGGTCCAGGACATACTGAATTTCGTTCTTGCTAGTTGAAGGTCCGTCCTCCCAAGTCTCCCTAAGGACGCAGTGGAGGCTTTGGGGGACTTCGCGTAGAGCGACAAGAGGGGTTCTAGCCATTTATCCCAATTTTTGGCGTCTTCTTGTACGAACTTTCGAATCATGGTTTTCAACGTGCGATTAAATCGTTCCACCAGGCTGTCTGTCTGTGGGTGGTAGACGCTGGTGCGAATCGATTTAATGCCCAACAATTCGTAAAGTTCGCGAATGGTTCGTGACATAAACACCGTGCCTTGATCGGTGAGAATCTCTTTCGGGATTCCCACCCGGGAGATTGGAACAGTGCGCCCGCAACGCTTTTGGCGGAAATACTGCAGAGCGGCACTGCTTCAGGGTACCGCGTTGCATAATCCACCAGGACTAATGCAAAGCGGTGCCTACGTGCAGACCGTTCTAATGGCCCGATGAGGTCCATGCCAAGTCGCTCGAAGGGGACCTGCATATTATTGCCGGTAAAGGCAATTCTAAAAAAAAATTATAAACACATTGTAAATGTTAGAAATGTATTGCTAAAATATATTACAAAGACTGTGAACTGTGAAGTACTGAATTGTGGAGTTAGACCGTTAAACAGTTTTTCACCATTGCTATAGACCAACGCTACTTTTGCGTCATCGAAGGGTAATGCCCCTTTTTGGGGGAAAACAAATGGATTCCCCCGAGAACAGAACTCGCTCTAGATCTGCTAAGTTTCTTCAAAAATGGCACAAACATACACACTCTCTTTGCCGGCCGAGGACTGTGAGCGGTATTTAAATAAGCTACTGGATACGGGGTTACAGAGGTGTCCCTTTGAAATGGTCGAAAACTGGATTAATGACCCCACGTAGTGGCCAAATATGGACTATTCAGACATCTAACGTTACCACTATCTCGTGGAATCACCAAGTAAGTAACGTTAGCCAATTTTTTTTGTCATTAACACACTCACAGTATGACAAACTAGACGATGAGGCCATGTCACTTGGATCATATTTAACTTGATTTAAGCTATTGACATAGTTTTGTTGTCGACTAGCTATACTATACTGTTGAGATAGTGGCAGGCTAGGACTAAAGTGGACTTGGCTGGTTTCTACTTGTGTCTAGAAAGTGCTAGGACTTTGAAAGTTGTATAAAGGTTTACAGTGTACGGCAAAATATGTATAGGACCTATGTATGTACGGGGCTATCAAATTGGATGTTGTGACATTACGCTATCCTATCTAGCCTAGAAGGCTTGATCTACTGCCGTTCGTGTTGTTACATGTAGCCTAGTCTCGCGTAGCCAGACCTTCAGACTGACGACTGAGCAGCTTTCTTTGGCCAAGGCCCGCCCATAAGGCCGTTTGATCGACATGTCAAACAACCAATTACAGTTTGTTTCATTCAGCGTCACGTTTCAGGGCGTGGAAATGTCCCCACAACAACAGACCGGCGTGCAACAAGTCGAGTCAGCATAGAAAATCAAAGAAGGAGAAGAAAACTTCAAGAGTCTATGCCGTGAACCTCGCATACTTTTGAGAATCCTACGTTTAGCTGATCTTGATAAATGCTCATTGTCACTCATGTAAACACAACAGTTTTTCTTCCGCAATCACACGTCTGCGCATTGTTTCCCGGCGGACCGAAAATAAACGCGACACTCGCGCCCCCTGGAAATCCGATAAAATTCAACCAATCAGATGACGACTTCGACATTCCTGAAGTGTTTCCAGTTAAGTGTACCATATGCATCAGACGTTTAGCCAACGTTCCGTGGGCGTGACGTCTGAGGCTGAGACTACATGTAGCCCAGAGCAGTGCTCGTCGAAAAGTCATATAGGCCTAAAGCACTTTCTAGACACAAGCAGAAACCAGCCAAGTCCACTTTAGTCCTAGCCTGCCACTATTTCAACAGTAAAATCAGTTAACAGCCAAGGTAGCGTGCCTAGTGAGAGCTAATCACATAACGTTAGCTGCTAGCAGCTTCATCTTTCTAACTAGTATATCTAGTCGACAACAAAACTATGTCAATAGCTGAAATCAAGTTATGATCCAAGTGACATGGCCTCATCGTCTAGTTTGTCATACTGTGAGTGTGTTAATGACAAAAAAAATAGGCTAACGTTACTTACTTGGTGATTCCACGAGATAGTGGTAACATTAGATGTCTGAATAGTCCATATTTGGCCAATGCGTGGGGTCATTAATCCAGTTTTCGACCATTTAAAAGGGACACCTCTGTAACCCCGTATCCAGTAGCTTCTTTAAGTTTGTGCCATTTTTGCTATCAAGAAACTTAGCAGATCTAGATCGAGTTCTGTTCTCAGGGGAATCCGTTTGTTTTCCCCAAAAGGGGGCGTTACCCTTCGATGACGCAAAAGTAGCGTTGGTCTATTTTCCGGATTTTTTGGGCGGGGCTAAAACGGGGCTCGATGACGCACTGGAGCCCCTGAGCTCGTGGACACGCCCCTACTTGATGACGCACTGAGGCCACTGAGGCTGGCCCCTCCCCTATCAATAGAGCACATTCGCATCAGTTTGGCGCTAAATCGCAAGTTACTGTCAGTACTATTATTAGTTACTATAACGTTACAGCCTACAGTTTGCTAGCTAGCTATGCCTTCGTCACGGAAATGCGTACTACTTGGATGCAATCATGTACAAAACAGATAGGTGTCTTTATTTAAATTTCCTAAAAATAATCACTCACATCAAGAAGAGGATTAATTTTGTAAAGAGCCACTGAGGATCACCGCCAACACCCGCCTCTGTTGTGATCATTTTACACGGGATAGTTTTATAAACTTTCGTCTGAGACAACTGGGATTCACTGATAATCCGCTGTTACTGGTAAATGGGGCCGAACTGACTATCTCCCGCCTCGGCCTTCATCCCCTCCGCTACCGAAAGCAGGATCACCTAAAATCATTTGTTTTTTGAGCAATAAAAAATCAGCAAATTAGAATTAGATTTCTGAAGGATCATATGACATAATGACACTGAAGACTGGAGTAATTGCAGCTGTAAATTCAGCTTTGCTATCACGGGAATAAATTAGCCTACATTTTAAAATATATTCAAATAGAAAAGTTGTTTTAAATTGTGATAATATTTCACAATATTGCGATTTTTACTGTATTTCTGATCACATAAATGCCACCTTGGTGAGCATAAAATACTTCCTCCAAAAACATATAATAATTATACCAACCTCAAAGGTATAATTGCTAAAGGTAATTTTTTTTTTACCTTTAGCTTGTCACCGGGGCAGTTCCCTGATGTCTCAAAGCTTTTAATTCTTGTTAATGTAAACATTTTAATATATATATATATATATATATATATATATATATATATATATAATATATATATATGCTGTACTAAGATGTAACTATAACTATAAATATTCCTAACTAAAGATGTCATGTTGGCAGTTCGGTGCATCATCTCGAATCCATATTAAAATATGTGCTCACATTTTAGATGTCAAAGGTCCAAAGAAACTTTTCCCAGACCTTCCCTTCAGCAACCTGGACACAGAAAAAGTGGAAGCCAGGAGAAGCCAACTGGAATCATTCCTTAGGGTAAGAGATTTCCCTTCACTAATAAAACGTTTTGGGCAAATTAAATGTGACTTTTATGCAAAACCCTGGTCTCTCACACCTTTTTCCACTCCTGCAGAAACTGTGCACTATCCCAGAGGCAACTAACAGTGAGGAGGTGCGTGAGTTCCTTGCCCTCAACACTGATGCCACAGCAGCTTTCCAGAAGAAGCCGTCGAGTTCACGCATAGACAAGGTCCCTCTGTCCTGAAACAAGATAAACTTTTGATTCCTTTTAATGTTTAGAAAAGACTTCTTTCTTTTTTAACTTTTATTGTGACATTGCTGTTTGATTTTGCCTGTCTGTCTGTATGATATGTTTTCCTTATAAACAGATGGTTGAGAACATAGTGGACACCCTGAAGACGGCGTTTCCACGCCCAGAGCCTCAGAGCCCCACAGAGGAAGGAGACCCACAAAGAAAGTGAGAATATATGAGACTTAGATAACATATGTCAATCATGCAAATTAATAATTCTCTTGTTTTTAATTCCACAAACTGTCCTTTCATATTTCAGGCCTCGTCTGAGATTCTCCAGTAAAATAGCTCCTACTCTTAATGTACCAAGCCTGCAGCCTAAAGTGACATACTCGTTCAGTGAACGCTGCTCAGTGAGTTCTTCCTAACATATACAATGCCACATAAAAAGTTATTCATAATCTGTCCATGCATATTTCACATAAACAAATAAAAAATATAAAAAATTTGTTATATTGAGTATGGCAGGGTTTTTACTTATTGCAATGTTTCTCAACCTTTTTTGTCTTATGTACCCATCAGTAAGGCTCAGTACCCCTTAAGGCTGGGATACACTACACAACTTTTTAAAGCTGAACAGATTTTAAAACACTAGACATTGCCGACACTAGGCATACACCTGCCGACATTGTAAATTGTTACAAAAGAAAATTTGGGCATCATACACTATATGACTGATGATCACACACTAGAAATACTTTTTTAGGTTGTTCTGAACACAACAAACTCATGCAAAAACCTACACCTCGTTGCTAGGAGAAGCATGACAAATAATAAACGATACAGGTATCACAATATTACGCAGGTTTTATATCTTCCGTCTGGATGGATTCATAGTCCAAACCTAAAAACAGAGTCTGTGCCCATCATACACTTTTTCTGTGAAATCTGTCAACTCCGACTGCCCGAAATCTGCAGACTGGCGCACACTTTCAGCAACTACACTGCTAATTGCGACGGAATTCTAGGAAAAGTCATGTTGTGTATTTCAGCCTTTAATCTACATCAAACCTTAAATTTGTTCCTTTATTTCCATAATTAATGTTTTATGGCATTCACTGAAAAAGAAAATTATGAGATTAGTTGTCAGTTAGTTAGTTTTTTTTTATTATTATTTTAGTTTGTTTTATAGGTTTAGCAAAGCAAAAGCAAAATCATTGTGAAGTACTCCTGAACCCTGATTAGGTACTCCCAATAGTTGGCTCTTATTGGATTTTCTGTGGGTTAGTGATAATGGCTTTTTTCAGAGTAGCTTTATTATCATTTCAGCTCTGTAAAGCCTGTACACAGTGAAACGAAACAGTGTTCCTCCAGGACCATGGTGCTATATAAGACAAAAACCGACAGTACAAATTTTACATGGAACAGGGCACAGTAGTGGGGAGTTTTTGAGTGAGACAATTAGCAAAGTTTGCAAGTTTATGTTCAGAGATTGATTAAGTAAATGTGGATGGATGTGTGGGAGTGTAGTTGTCAGGCTAGTCACATGGAGTTGAGGAGTCTGATGGCTTGGGGGAAGAAATTGTCACGCAATCTTACCGTGAGGGCCTTAATACTTCTGTACCTTCTGCCAGACAGTAGGAGGGTGAAGAGATGGTGTGAGGGGTCGTTTGAAATACAGATAACTTTTTCTCATACAGCATGTGGTGTAAATGTTTGCGATGGAGGGAAGAGAGACCCCGATGCTCTTCTCAGCTGTCCTCAATATCTGCTGCAGGTTCTTGCGATCTGAGATGGTCAGATCCCTCTGTAAAATGTGGTGAGGATGGGGGGTAGGAGATTGGCTTTCTTCATTCTTCGTAGAAAGTAGAGAGGCTGCTGGGCTTTCTTTGCTATGGAACTGGTGTTCAGAGACCAGGTGAGGTTCTCTGCCTCTTGACGATCGCACGGAGGAGCTGTCGTTGCGGAGAGTGGTTGTTACGTGCTTCATCCCTTTCTGTAGGTTCTTCGAGGTTTCTCGCTGTCAGATCTGGAGGGGTTTGTGGAGGAACAGGAAAAGCTGGTGGATGGTGGTGTCAGGAGTCATTTTGCTGGAGGAAGACGCATGAGAGAGCAGAGACCTGTAGAAAAGAGAGGAAGAGGAGCAGGTAAATCAACTTCAAAAGCAGAGCTTGAAAACTTGTTTCTATTTTATTCTCATGCACATTCGAATTGTGTAGGATAAGGTGAAAATAACTTTAATTTAACTTTTATTTAAAGATAACTGTGAGGAATGTTGTACACCCTATCAAACAGGAGATGGCAGTATATTGTTGATGAATGAGAGCTGATTGAGAGCGAGTTGTAGCTTTAATTATTTTATGCGAGATCAAAACATTTATCTGATACAATCTAAAATCTAACCCTACCTTTACACTGACAAATTTTGATGTTTGTGATGACGCAGACACTGCCCTGGCAGATATTGCTCTGAATATCTTGTGTTTGCTGATGAAGGACCAGTGGAGCTGGCTGTGTACAGAAAACATCCAGAAAACCATTAGACTGCTCTTTGGCACTTTTATTGAAAGGTGAGTACAGGTTTGACAACTCTGAATTTGTACAAAAAAAGAAGAAGATGTATTATGATAATAGGACAGTAAGCAGATAGTAAGCAAAGTGGGAGGGGGGTCTATATGTCTATATGACAGTTATATGACAGTTCTGAATTTTAATGCTCATTTTCGTGGTGTATCTTTTATAATCTACCCTGTGTGTATGTAAACACAATGATCAAACCACTAATTATCCAGTAATCACTTTGCTGGCCATGATGTTCATTGTTACCCTTGAGTAATATGTGCAATTGTTCATTAAAGCACATTAGAGTTTGTTATTGACCGAAAGCAAAATCATTAGTTATGAACCTGAGATTATTGTAGTATTCCATCATGCTGGCTTTGGAGACAAGTCCGTTTAAACTATGAAATTGGCAACCGTGAGTTTCTAGCCATCAAGTTAGCTCTAGAAGAATGGAGACACTGGCTGGAGAGAGCCAAACATCAATTCCTGGTCATCACCGATCATTGCAACTTGGAGTATCTCCAAAACACATGCCGCCTTAATCCTCGCCAAGCCCAGTAGGCTTTATTATTCACACTTTTCGACTTCAAAGTCACCTACCGTCCAGGAGACAAGAACACTAAAGCGGATGCACTTTCCCGCCTTCAATCTCCAGACTGACCTCAACCATCCTCTGAAACCTTTCTCCCTTCAGCCCTCTACGTGTCTCCGATCCAATGGTCTCCTAATGATCAGATTACAGCCGCCACCAGTGCCGCACCACCACCACAGCAGTCCTGAGGGCCTCACTTATGTCCCATCTAACCTACGTGTAACCCTCATTGATTCAGTTCACTTATCTCCGGGAACTGGGCATCCAGGTAACCAGCAGACCCTCTTGGTCTGTGAACGCTGCTGGTGGCCAATTATGGCCCAGGATGTCCAACGTTCGTTCAAGGGTGTCCCATCTGTGCCATCTCCAAACACTGAAACACTTACCAGAGGGCAAGCTCCATCCTCTACCCATCCCTCACTGTTCATGGTCTCACCTGGGAATAGACTTTGTCATAGACCTCCATCCGACGAGAACACCTGCATCCTTGTAGCTGTCGAGCGCTTCTCCAAAGCCTCCAAACTCATCTCATTCAAAGGTCTTCCTACTGCCATGGAAACAGCCGAGGCCCTGGTCCATAGCGTCTTCCGTAACTTTGGGTTACCAGAGGATATTGTGTCGAATAGAGGCACACAATTCACCTCTCATGTCTGGAAAGCCGTCTTTCGTCTTCTCGAAGTATCAGTGAGCTTTTCTTCTGGCTATCACCCCCAAACCAACAGCCAAACCAAACGCAAGACTCAAGAAATTTGTTGTTACCTGCGGCCATAGTGCCACCATCATCAACATAGCTGGAAATGCTTCCTACTGTGGGCCAAGTAATCACCCCTTTCCAGTGCATTCTTGGCTACCAACCATCCCAGGTTCCAGCGAGAGGGTGTGGGACTCAGCTCATGTCCATGTGCAAGGGTCAGTCCGAAGACACAAGACCCAGGCCGACGCCAGAAGAGCTGCTACACCCATCCGGGTACAGAAGGTCTGTCTATACCAGGGGTCTCAAACTCAACTTAACTGGGGGCCGCTGGAGGTAGAGTCTGGGTCAGGCTGGGCCGCATCAAGTAGGCTATTCCACAAAAAATAGTATTCAAGTATTCCAAAAAAGGAGCACAACTGATCCAATCTTCTCAATCTTTATTATTAACGTTTCTTCTGAACTGTTCCTCTGAATTTGAACATTCCTTTCTGTACATGATTGGTTCTTTATGAGCTGTCCTTCTGACAGTTGAAGTTCATTTTACAAACTTTCTTTGTCTATAACACATATTTGTAATATTTATATTTGCTTATGTCCTTTTTATTTTCTTTATACAACACATTAATGATATTGAATGTTTTTTTTGGAAGGCACATTTCCTTTTATTATATACTTAGAAAAACAATTATTGCTTTTGAAATACAAATATTTGCAGTCATGTCTGCCCGTCTTATTGAATTCTTTCTACACATGTATAGTGTCTCAGGCAAATTAGGCTACTGAATTTGCACAAATCAAAGCAAACCTTCTTATCAACCTGTTGGACACATATTACAAGCTCAAAATGATTATTCTCACATTGTTTTAAAGCAGGGTCTCTCTCCAACATGTCGCTCGCGAGCTACCAGTAGCTCGCGGCCTGATTGGTGGTAGCTCGACAAGGGGCAGTTCACATATCGCGCTCACATATTTTGCGCGCTCAAGTTCGTTATTTCAAATGTAGGTGCGCGTGCGCGGCAAGCGCGCTCATAATTGAAGCGACGCGCTCATTTTTTCCAGGCGCGCAGTATGTTTGTACTTAGCGGTTGTCTATGGCAGGGGCGTAGAATTTAGTAGGGACGCTAGGGACGTGTCCCTACCAATATCCAGTGACACTGATATATCCCTAGCAATATTTTCGATCAAAACTTTAAATATATTAAATATTGATGTCCGCGTCCCCACCAATTTCAAAATCAAACCTACGCCACTGGTCTATGGCAACTATTGACAACAAACCCACCGTATGGTAGCCCATTTAAAACGCGGCACACGCAACGACGGGCCGCACTAACATTACACTTTAATGTCAAGTAGGGGGCCACAAAATATCTCCCCGCGGGCCGCAAATGGCCCGCGGGCCGCGAGTTTGAGACCCCTGGTTTAAAGCAACAATGTAGTCACTTGGTATGATATTCTATACAATGCCTTTTCTAGGTGATTTTTTTTTTCACAAGACCCTGACTTAACTGAACAAAAAACACTCAAGAACAGCAGGGTCGTGTTCAAAGTATGTTGAAAGCATTTTTTGAGGCAGGGCTGATCATTAATGGTTGTCCATTCATTCCTCTGCCTGCGTAAGTCCTCATCAGACTTTAAGTGGGGAAAAATTCTTAAAAGCATGGAAAGCAGAGCTTCTCGTGCATGTGTTGCGCTCCACCCAATTAGAAGTAATAGAGGGGCGAAGCGCAGGAAGGTGATTGGACGCAGCAGGGCTGGCTGATAACTGGCCAGCGAGCTATTCATCAGGATTGCATCTGGTTCAAGAGCCTTGCGTCATTTGTGTGGGCCAGACATATGTAAGCTGTCATAAGCAGTTAAAGAAGTGATGGCTAAAAAAAACCCAGCACATTGTGTAAAGACCACACAGGCCACTGTGTCTGGTTCGCCGTATGGTCCCAAGATTAATGAGTCCTTTAGTTTAATGATCGTTATTTATTGTAGATTAGGCAACAATCTCAGCAGAGTAACAGATTATTATCTGGTCTACACATGCTTAACAAAGTACACAAATTGTTCTGTGATATGTTTGATAAATGGGAGGTGAGTTTAAAACCTTTTGCACTCAATGGCCCAGCGAGAATAGTCGAGTAAATCGCCTGAGACTAACTGCCAGCTGCGAATCTGCATTATATGATCCCCTGTTGAACTTGATCACCTTTTTTACTCCAAAAGGAAGAATCATAACAATGCATGAGTGTGTTCACACTTCCTGTGAGCTTATGTCTTCCTCGCGAGGATTACAGCATTTTTACAGAATGTGCTGTCACTCACTTCCCCAGAGTACATTACTCCTCATGCCAGCACTAATATGTGTTGCACGCACAGTGAAATATCCTCCATCAGTGCTTTCTGAACTTTAGCTACAGTGGATCAAAATGTTTTGTTTGTTTCTCTCCGTGTAGCCAGAGAAAGAATGTTTATTGGATTAACAAGTATAAAAGCATAATAAAGGTGTTATTGCTGAATATTTTTTATCTTGTGTGTAAAAATATATTGTAATATTATTTTCTTTCTGTTTAATGATACTATGAATGCCTACACATTAGAGTAAGTCAGTACATTTACAACAAAACTTTGATTATAACTATCTAAAATGAGTAAATGATCAAAATCTGACAATTTCTGAAACCCACATTAACATTAGATTGTGAAATTGTCAGTTTTTTTACTCTGGTTCGGACATCAAAACGTTAACAGAATCAAAATGTGCAAAAAACATGCCAGTGCTTTATTTAATAAAAAAATACCTTTATTTAATAAAACAACACAGTTTAGGCCATTTGCATGACTTTACATGGTTTGTAAAGGGTTAGTAAGCATAATTGATGCAAAACTGTACATGTAAACACACTGGGCCCTATCATACACCTGGCGCAATGCGGCGCCAGGCGCAACGCAAGAGTCTCTTGCTAGTTTCAGCCCGACGCAGTTATCATTTTCACGTCCTGCGCCACGTTGTTTAAATAGCAAATGCATTTGCACCCATTTATGCGCCCATGGGTGTGCTGGTCTGAAAACGAGGTGTGTTCAGACACATTGTTGGCGCGTTGCTATTTTGAGGCAACTGAAATAGACTGCTCCTTTGACCAACTGAAACCTGGTCTAAAGTCAATGGCGCAATATTTTTTTCGTTATTTAAAGAGCGCGTTAAAAATATGCGCCTATAGGCGGGTCCACAACACGCGTACAGTTTGTCCCGTAGATGGTCGATGATCGCACGCTTTAACCTTGCACACCGACCATTTTTCCCATTGTTAAACTAGCAAAAGTGGATTCGGACACGCCCTAAGGGCGCTTGCGCTGTGCGCTGTGCGCTTTAGACCATGTACTTGGATCGTTAAAATAGGGCTCACTCTGTTACTTTGTCATATATTTATGAGTAAATACTATGGCCAGAAGCAAACATTATTCCTGTTTTGTTGAAACTTGCCCACTGACATGCATAAACATGCACCAGATGGATGTCTTTGACCATTGCTTTGAATTTGCTTTTTCAGCGACTTGCGTCTGAGTGTGGAGTTTTCAAAAATGACGTGTCAAGCAGTTCAACTTTTAAAGATGCATCTCGGGACCTTGCTTGTTTTTCCATTCCATTGCACTGCGTCTTGCGTTTTCAAAAGCAAAAATCATTCTGTGTAAATGGCCTCTTTGTTCATTCAGCTCACTGCAGTTCGCTAGAT